GGGCGGTGGCAGCGTGCAGGGGCGGGGCGTGGAGGGCGCTTTGCGTCCTCGCCACTGCGTCCCGGTGTGCTCCCGCTCGGAATTCCGCCCCGCCCCCCTCTAGAGAGCGTGCCCGCTGTGCCCCGGGGCGGGTGCCGGCCGCCGGACCGCGCGCAACCGGGGTGCACGGACGCCGCTGGGGCTCGGCCAGCGGGCGTCCCCGCAGGTGTTTCCCTGCACCTGACGCTTAGGCTCCTGGGCACTTAAATTGCGGCGGTTAGAAGACCTGCTGCTAAACAACTGTCTTTAAAGAACTGGTTTCTGTTCTAAGCCTGTGCGTTTTAGTGTAGTCCTTTAAACCGCGGCAGAGAGCAGGTGTGTGCTGGCTCAGTGAGTTCAGGATCGACTCTTGATTTCCCCCGGGTTGTGATCCTGGGCTCCGCGCTCCGCGGGGAGTCGGCTTGAGATGCTCTCTCCCTCTACCCCTCCCCCTGCTCACTCTAAGATACATAAATACATCATAAACCAACCAACCAACCAACCAACCAACCTTACAGTGGCCAGGGCGCCTGGCTGGCTGAGTCAGTAGAGCATGCGACTCTGGATCTCAGGGCCATGAGTTCAAGCCCCACCTTGGGCCCGCAGACTAATTCAAATAATTACAAAAATAAAACACTACAGTGGCGTGTGCTGTATCCGAGTATTGAGTTCTGCTGGAGCAGGCAGAAATCAACAGGAGCGATGAAACTCATGAAGCGTGTGCAGCATAAAGAAGAAAGCTAGTATAAAGAGAGGTGATGTTGAATAGGCAAGTAGGTTGTGAGACTCAGGCAAGAATCTTAAGTTAGGTGTGTTAGCGATGTTGAAGGTGAAGAGAATAAGGAGTATGTGATGGAAGAAATAAAATAATTTTACTTAGGGAGTAACCAAATCAAAAGACAGGATCGTTTGACCTCTGGGTTCACTCATTGGGGCTAACATCATGGTCCCATTCTGGATCCCATATGCCCTGCCCAAGAATTGCAGATAAAACCCTTGTCTGTTCAACAGGCTAATTGGTGAGCTACAGCCGTGGCCGGGCACACTTGCATGTGTCTCTGTGAGTGGGCTCCAGGTACTTGGAGTGGCCTTGAGCATCCTCAGCTCTGGTATTTGTAACCCATTGTTTGTCTGGCTGATGCAGTGGAGAGAGACAGAACATATGAACATGCAAACATTGCATAACCCCAGATTTAGATGGTGTGGCCTTCTGCCTAGCCTCTACCTGGTCCTGTGTGTGTCATCCACCCCATGTTGTGTCTCTTTCTGCAGGAAGTTTAAATCGGGTTTTTCAAACTGATTCAATGAACCCTTGTAGTTCGAGCATCTTAATTTGGTCTGTGAGACTTTTTCTCTTTTGTGACTTCTGGGATACCTTGCCTGATGTGTCTCTGGGAGCTACCGATGCAGTAGAGGTCCACGGACTTCACTGGACCGACAAAGGGGTCCTGTGCACACACAAAGATTAGGAATTCCTTTCCCTAGAACCTGAAGGAGAGACAGCTGGATCCCACTGTCTACTCAGTATTTTTGCTTGGATGTCTTAAATGCTTCTCCAGGGATGTCAAAAACCTCCTCTAGTACTGCCCACTCAGCATGTGGTCCCTGGCTCTCCCACTGCTTAGGCCAAACACCTTGGTGTCAACTGGACTCTTCTCTTCTGTTCCACACCCAATCCAGCACCAAATCCTAACTTCTGATTCAAGTAGTTTCTTTTATTTTTGATGTTTGGCTACGCATGTGCCCACAGCCCTGTGACCCTGCCACATGCCACATCTCTCTACCTTCTCAACAGCAAAGGGGTGCCCACGGGACCCCTGAGCCCGCACCCTGATGTCTTGCAGGGGGACAGGGCATGAGAGACCGAGGCTCTGGATGAGCTCAAGGAGTTTACTGTGATTTTCCTCTGATAAAGGTAAACAAACAAAAACGATTACAATGACACACACATAAACAGAATGATGAGTGAGAATTTTTCTTCCTCTCCATCCCTCCCCATTCCCACATCCCAGAGGCCATCACTCGTCCCTGTGTATCGTTTGGGCTGTGTCCTGCGGGACTCTGTGCACACGTGCGTGCACACACACACACAGAGTTCAAGATCTTATTATGGACACACTGTACCCTAATTTGTTTGGAAGGATGAAATGTTATCTATGTGTATTTTATTCATACAGTTTTCATATTTTCCACATGATGTACAAACATGTCCTTTTTGTGGAGTTTTCAGACCTGCTCTGTTGGATACAGCGGCCACGAGAACAGGCACTACTGAGCACGGCGGAGCGATGGGTTTGAACGGAGATGTGCTGTTGAGTGTAAATGCACAGTGGATTTTGAAGACTTGGTAGGGAAAAAATGAAGGAAAAGATCTCATTAGTAATTGCTTTATATTGGTTACATGATGAAGTGATAATATTTTGGGACTATTCGGTCAAAGAGAATATATGACGAAATTAATTTTATGTTTCTCTTTACTCTTTAAATATGGCTAATGAAAATTTTAAATTATGTATGAACCTTGCATTATCTTTCCTTTGGGCAGAGGTGCTTGAGAGAAAACAAAAGTTTGCAGAGCAATAGAAGAAAGTTCTACCTCGTCCTCCACCCCCGTGTCCCTCCCTGTGTTGTCACTTATTTTCATTGTTTTCAATGTGTATTTATTTTATTATTTTTTAAAGATCTATTTTTTTATTTTAGAGAGAGTGTGCATGCACGTGCATGAGCAGGGAAGGGACAAAGGGAGAGGGAGAGAGAATCTCAAGCAGACTCCCCAATGAGCGCAGAGTGGAGCCCAATGTGAGGCTCGATCCCACAACCCTGAGATCACGACCTGAGACGAAACCAAGAGTCCGACACTTAACCCACTGAGCCACCCAGCGCTCCTCCAATGTTTATTTAAAGCTATACACCTTATCCTGGGTTCTGCTTTGGCCATATTTTTCTGATTTGAGGTGTCTATTTTACTTTGTTTTTGAAAAAAGTTATTCTATTTCCATAAATACTTTAATTGCAAAATGAAATTGCTTGTAATTATACGAGTGATACATGACTATCTTTCGCTTATTAAAATAGAGACAGTGAACTCTCGTTTTTCCTCTCCAGCCCTGATCCCTCTCCAGTGTGCACTAGTTTAGATATTGACATTGCCACCTACCCAATTGAGGACAGAAATAGAAATGCTAACCTCTGAATAACAGAAATCCCAGAAAGAGAACCATGTTCATAACAACCTGCATAGGGAGAGAGAAGATCACTCAGAGGAACCAGAATCCATTTGCCATCAGATTTTCCCAATGGCAGACTCGTGTAGTATTGATCAGAGAGAAAATTCAGAGGGTGATGTACATTTTATAGGGGAAGAAGAAGACCCGAGACTCACTAGCAAATCAGCACATTCAGGTGAAACCGTAGAGGGTAGTCAGGCCTTAAAGGGAGAAAGAAGGAAAACAGGGAGAAAACCCACAAGGCTTCAGAATGCGTGACCCCAAACAAAGGAGCCAAGAGCACAGTGGGAGAGAGTTGAGGTGTCAGTGGAAACCACACACACAGGGCGCCTGGGTGGCTCAGTGGGTGAAGCGTCTGCCTTCGGCTCAGGTCATGATCCCAGGGTCCTGGGATTGAGCCCCTGTATCAGCTCCCTGCTTGGAGGGCAGTCTGCTCCTTCCTCTGCCTGCCACTCCCCCTGCTTGTACTCTTTCGCTCCCTCTGGCAAATGAATGAATAAAAAGAAAAACAAAGAAAGAAAGAAAGAAAGAAAGAGAAAAAGAAAGGAAGGAAGAAAAAGAAAGAAAAAGGAAGGAAGGAAGGAAGAAAGAAAAAGGAAGGAAGGAAGGGAGAAAGAAAAAAAAAGAAAGAAAGAGAGAAAGAGAAAGAAAGAAAGAAAGGAAGGAAGGAAGGAAGAAAGGAACCACACACTCCCGCCTCGGTTGGCCTGGCTGGGGAACCCCTCCCCTGGCAATCCTGCTGTACTTAGAAAACCCACATGCTAACGAGGCGAGCCGGGTCTGAGGGATTTTAGGTAATATATACTCATACTGTACCTCCCCCCCATAATTTACTGGGCTTTTTAAAAAAATTAGATTGTTTCCTATTTTTTTGTTATTCTTAAAAAATAATGCTGATTTACCCTTGAACATTTGTCTCTGGATAGCTGTGCTATTGTTTCTACGTGGCAGATTCCTAGAAGTGGATGGCCGATGAGGTGTGTGCATTTAAAACTTTTATAGAATCTGACAAATTGCCCTTTGAAGACGTGGTGCTGGTTTTTACTCCCCCCAGCAGCACTGAGACTATCAATATTCACATTGGTCAGAGTGCAGGAGATGTACAACCCTTTTCCATTTTATTTTCATTTCATTTTATTTTTTAAAGATTTATTTTAGAGAGAGACAGCATGAGCAGGGGGGCTAGAGGGAGAGGGAGAGAGAGAATCTCAAGGAGATTCCCCGGTGAGCGTGGAACCAGACACTGGGCTCCATCTCGCGACCCTGAGATCATGACCCTCAAATCATGACCTGAGCCAAAACCAAGAGTCAGATGCTTAACCAACTGTGCCACCCAGGCACCACTTGTATTGTCCGTTTTTAACGTTATTTTTACTGATATAGTTTTTGATTGCCGATGAGACTGAATATCTTTTTATATTCCATTGGCTATT